AAGATAACAGTGAGAAGTCCACTGTGCTGGCAGAGGGAAGGCATCCCTGAGCAGAGATGGAAACCATGCATTATGCATTGTGTCTGGGGGCTGTGCTCTCAGATTTCAGTTTGGGTGCTGAACTGTAGATCTCAAAAAGGGGATCCCAGGCCCTGTAAGTGCAGTGCTGTCCCAGCAAGGCATTTTCTGCATTGCACAATACTCTGTGAAAGATAATCTCACAATAGGAATGGGATTTGGGGGTGTGGATCCAGTAAAATCCTCAGGACATCCCAGGCTTCTCCCTGCTCCCATTCTTCTGATTTTTCTGGCGAGGAAGGGACTCTGGGTGCTCCCAGGGCAGGAGCAGTAGCTCAGTGCTGTCATGCATCTGCCAGCTATAGAGCAGAAGCTTTCCTCTTGGAGCATATGTATAATATAGGTAGAGACATAGAGATCGTTTGAATTGCTTTTCATGGAAGCATCAAGCTGGAAATCTGAATAAGCGAGGCTGATCAGTACTTACTATGAAATATATGTTGCTCATAAACCGTAACCGCTGGGAGTTCTCACTCCCAAGTCTCTTTAACAAACAAAAGCTCACACCAGACAGATCTCAGACCTAAGGGTTAAAACTACAGCAATAATTCTTTTCTCCCCTTCTGCAGGGTGTGTGGTGGTGGTCTCCACCTTCAACCACTTTTTGCCTGCATGTTATTTAGTGAATGTACAGGCACGAGTTCTTCAGGCTTAATGATCTGCACAGACTGTGTTGGTGTGCTGTGGGGGCCTCTTTGGGTTGTATGTCTGCTTTCCTGGGCACTGCAGGGACCTGGCAGCCCCAAAGGCAGTGCTGCAGGTGGGGCTGAGGACAGCTTCATGCTTGCAGAGGTGCGAGAGGTCGTCCATCTCATGTCAGCACTTTGCCCTGAGATGATGATTAAAGCCACTGTAAGAAGCTTAAAGTTACGTAAGGGGTTGGGAGAGTTACCATAAAGCAAATTAAAATCCCGTGTCCAATATGAGATGTGGTTATTAGAAGTGCTCCTGGCTGGAGGCAGATTGCTTGCTCTGCCCTCTTCGTTATCCTGTGCTTCGTTATGTAACAACCCAGCCATCGGCAGCACGATGGTGTTAAAGGGAAGCTGCACAGGGTTCCAGATGTCACTGTGGCTGCGTGGGACTTGGATGAAGTGTGCTTTCCAGTGGGTCTGGGGAGCCTGTGAGTCCCAACAGCATTAGTGCAATGGCCAACTTACAGCAAGAGGTGGCTGCAAGGTGGGATGCTGAGAGCTCAGATAGAACTTTTGTAGTTTCATCCAGAATGTCTTCACTGCTTGGATCCCGCTGGTACAAATGCATGCTGTTCTCTGGTCTGAGGTGTGAGTGCTCTTCCCCCCCCCCCCCCCCCATTGCTTTGGAACGTGGCTGTGCATCATGGCCTCTCTGCTCCAGGCACAGCCTGCGGGAGGGAGCACACCTTGATGACTGCAGCAGTGCAGGTGTGGAGGTGACATGCAGGATGTGCCCCGGCTTTCAGGATTGCAGGAGGTGGCCTCAGGAGCTGTGCAGTGCTCCTGCTGCTAGGGTGTCTGCTGTCACTCCTCTCTGAGCAGAGAAGCAAGCTGTCTATTTGCAAGATGCATAGCTGGACTAGAAATACTCGCCTCACACAGCTGGGGAATGCCAGAATACAGAGGGAGGAGCTGATGTTACAATTGAAAATAACTTCTGCATTTTATGGGTTTATTTTATGGTTTTATTTCATCTCCTTAAGCTTAATGTTGGCTTAATGCAGACTACATATAATTTAGAAATACAATTTATATCCTCTTTAGTAATTACACTTCTCATTGTCTGTTTGAAAATACTCTTTATGCCTTATTTAATCTCTTTATTCTGTCAGATGGCTGCACCATTAAGTCCATAAAAGCAAGACGGAACCTTTTCTCTTTCAGTTGCACTTCTAAATATTAATTTCATAACACATAGTAGTACAATGGGGAGAAATAAGAACTATGTTATGTATTGCTTTTGTGTATGTGAACAGGAGGAGAGAGAAGCCATAACGTTTATCTTTCTCTTATTTTTCTTTGCAACTCAAGTAATCTCACAGCTCAGTTGTAGGATGTTGTTCCTAAAGCTGTTAAGTATATTTGCATCTTACTGTGTTGGCTTTATTAAGGCCCACTGTGTTAATTTCCAGAGGCTTTCCTGTGGGCGCGCGGGCTGTTGCACACAGCAGCCACACAGCCTGCTCTGTGTAAGCAGGGTGGTTTTGTTGGCTGTCCCCTATGGATCCAGTGGCTGCTGTTCAGAGAGCAGTGTGTGCAGTCAGCCGGCTGCCTGGAGTTCCCTGCAGGAGGAGGTGCAGGTGGGATCCTGCTCAGCTGCCTGAGGAAACATCAGCATGCATGGTTGGAATGGTGTGTGTTGTGTAACCTCCTGCACTGACCCACAGTGAAAAGCGTGGGACTTGCAGCTCTCTTTGCTCAGGCAGGTGGCATCATCCCTGTGCAGGCATGGGGTAAAGTTACACACCTGGCAGCACACGGTTATGGATTAGAGCTCCAGCTTAGCATCCCTGGCATAAGTGAGGTTTGTTGGGCAGCGTGTCAGGTGGAACGCATTGCATCCCCTGAACAGGTGATATTGCAGGTAACATCTGGGCTGGCAGGCTGGGATGCCTTCCTTCCTGGTGGTGGGGCTCTGCCAGCTGCTGAACAGCATGGATGTGGCAGAGATGGTGCAGCTGGCACCCATGGGTCAGCATTCAGCCTAGCGCTCAAAGAAGGAGCAGAGCAGCTCCTGCAATGAGACATGGTATTGCTCAGAGTGATGGTCATTGCTTTGTCTGAAAATACATGGTGCCCATCTCAGCTGTGTGCCTGGCTGGAGTCTGAAATCAGTGTGCTGCAAATAGGCTTGGAAGACCTTTCTTGGTGTGCTTGTGTTTCATAAGTAACTGAAAAGAGAGGATGGTGTAGCTTGTAAGTTAGAGAGAAAGAGGAAATAACCTCCTGAAGTTGGATGCTGTAGCACTTAGGCTGCCCCAAACCTTTCTTTCAAGTGCATTCCTTCTGTTAACATGTATGCTATGGGGATGATGCAGTGAACTTTCTTGTGTGTCCACTGTTCTTATTACGTGTTTTCATTTGGGTGGTATGTTCTGAGAACTGGGAACGTGCAAGCAGAGAATTGGTGCTTATTGCAGATGGCACTTGAGAAATAGAGAATGAGGAGATCTTGGTGGAAAGAGGATTTCTTCCCTTCTTCTGTATTTGTGAGGAAGTGCTCTAAAATCTTTCATGTAAATTTGATTTGGAAGTGTATCTGAAAACGTATTGTGAAATGCATCTATTTTTATCAATAAGATATGGTAATATTTGGGCAATTAAAACAGTGACAAATAAATTGTACAGTTGTTGTCTGTTGCAATTATCTGATTCTGGTCCATCTGCTTTTCTCACATGAAGGAAAAGCAGTCCCCTCTCTGCTGCCCTTTGTTAGTGGTCCTCGACAACAGCTCAGTGAAATAGCTGTTTTCCTCACAGGTGAGCTAATGCTAATAGGAAGACTTAGGTGAGAATTAGTTCTTTTTGAGGCTTATTAGTAACTGATAGGCTTAGGTACAAAGAAGCAGATTCTCTGTGTTGAGTAGCTTGTAGCTAAGCCTCTAAGCCAAAACCTTGCTGTAATAGAACACTCCAGCAGTGAAATACTGCCTGCAGCCTGCCTGCCAAATTGATGTAGCGGTTTGGGTTTCCATATCCACACTCTCTCACAATCTTCTTTTATGGAGGACAATTTTATTAAGGTGAATTGGAGGCAGGCTTGCAGTGAACTTGTTCAGAAGTGGGAGGCTCAGTCCTGTGTGCAGGGACTGCTGCTGCTTCAGGTACTCTTCCTTCTTTGAGGCTGCTCCTCCATCCCGTGCTGTTTGGAGCCATAGCTGCCTGCTGCTCTGTGCACCTGCGGGTGGCTTTGTGTCAAAGCCATGATGGGTCACTTTGGGTACCCTTTAGTGACAATGGCACCTGTTTCTGCCTTCATTTCCATCTCTTCTGGTTCATCTGAAAGCACTGCCCAGTCCACCCATCTGTTGGTTCTGGCTCTCCCAGGGAACAAGAGGCTGTGAGGGTCTTTGCTGTGGTTGAGGAAGAGGATGAGGAGTAAAGACAGAGCTGGGCAGTGTTTGGGAGCCAGCCAGGGTGTAAGCAGATCAGCAGGTGACGCTTTCGGAGTGATACCAAGTGAGGAGAGGCTGCAGACAGATAGAAACAGGAAAGTAATTTAAGAACACAGCTATGCACTGAGATCAAGGCGAAACGTTATCTTGATCTTAGTGCGTGGAGAGGCGTGGGAGGGAAGAGGTGAGATGAAATGGAGGAGATGGATCTACTGCAACCAAAACAAGGAGGAAGACTATCATCCCAGATGGGATGGGTAGATAAAAAGAAGCTATCACAGTGTGTGCTTGAAATTTGGTAGCGGGAGAGGAAGGCTGTAGTTGTGTGTGTGGCAGCGCAGTGGGACTGTGTGTTTATAATTCCATTAACAGTTCAAAGTGTGGCAGAATTGAAGGTAAAGGATTACTGAGCACAAAGGAATGAGGACTGAACGATGGCCTTGCCATTCAGAATTGGCAGTGCTGGCTTTTAAAATTACTAGCACATGTCTAGCAATTTAAATATATATATAAAATATTATATATTATAGTATATATAATATTATATATATATTTGAAGGAAGTAAGCATAGAACAAGATAAAAAAGGAATATAAAGTATTTCCTTTCAGTATTTTATTTTTGTTGACTCCTGTGACAATGTTTTGACAGATGTGTTCTATTTTCTTACAAGGAGAACTTGTGAAGAAGAAATAGTGTGTGTCTTGCATTTGCTGACACTGAAGGTGAAAGGCAAATGTTTTATGTCTAGTAGAAGTTTGAAAGTCGCTATGTCATTTTATTGGTGGAAATAGATGGCTGTTCAGTTGAACTTGCTCTGTTCTGCTTCACAGTTGAAAGATGCATGAGTGTTATGCAGTCTGGGACTCAGATGGTTAAGCTGAAGAGTGGAACCAAAGGGCTCGTTCGTCTCTTCTACCTGGATGAGCACAGGACCTGCATCCGATGGAGACCATCCAGAAAAAGTGAAAAGGCAAAAAGTAAATCTGTAATCCTTTTAATTTCCTGGGAATTTGAGTATTAAAGTGTGGATTACAGATAGGACAGCGAGTAATGTGTTTTAGATCTAGTAATTGGGCTGGTATTAAATGTGGAGGTTGGTGCCCTGCATGGGGCAGGGGGTTGGAGATTCATGATCCTTGAGGTCCCTTCCAACCCTGGCCATTCTGTGGATCGGTTGCATATTTTAAAGTGATCCCCTATTACAATCTAATGTTAAAAAAGCTTAATGACTCCTAGCCTGAATAATGCAGAGTTGTTGAAAAGCAGAGTGTGCTCGGATGGCTACAGAAGGATATCAGTTTGTGTTTTCTCGTTTCCCCACAGTTATCATCGATTCTATTTACAAAGTGACCGAAGGCCGTCAGTCTGAAATCTTCCACCGCCATGCAGAGGGGAACTTTGACCCGAGCTGCTGCTTTACCATTTACCATGGCAACCACCTGGAGTCACTGGATCTGATTACCTCTAACCCGGAGGAAGCTCGCACCTGGATCACAGGGCTGAAATATTTGATGGCTGGGATAAGTGATGAAGACTCGCTCGCTAAGCGGCAGAGAACCCACGATCAGTATCCTTTTACAGACCTGAGCACAGTACTTACCTGTTTTGTAGTGAATTTGCTATGGGGTGTTCTTTCGCCTCCTGCCAGCTGGACCAAAAATTTTGCCACTGATTGAGATGGAAATGTTAGATAAGTGTGACGTGTTGTACTGCACATGTGTGCATCCGTTAACTGTGCATTAGGGACTGGATTAAACTCCATTGAATCACGGGCAGTCCTGCATTTTGTTAGTGAAATCCCTACCAAAGTGTCAGAACGCACATTTATGGTTATCTCATTGAATACTAACCCCAGCATGACTATAAAGGATAGTTTGATGGAGCCTCCAGTGCAGTTCAGCAACAGTGTTACTCCTCTGTAGCTGTTCTTTTTCCATGTATTTCTTCAGTGTTGTTTGTGTGCAAGTATATGTGGCCTGGCTGGTCTGAGGGCTCCTGTGCTACTGACCACTTGGTAAAGCTTCTGTGTCTGGAGATGTCCATCATGGAAGGATTTATGTCATCTTCTGTTTGCTCAGCTGTGCTTTTATTCTCCTGCTTCAAATTGCAAGGTTTACTAGAAGGCATTCAAGTTATTTACTGGTTGAAAACTTTAATTTCTTAGCCTTTACCCAGTTGAAATTCTAAACTTTTTCAGTCCTTTGGTAAAACGACCAGTAACTTGTGGCCCTCCGTTTCTCTTATGTGATGTGTGTCAGATATGTGTCTACATTGCAGCCTCCAGTGTTTGTCAGAAGCACAAATCTTTAGAACTCCTTAAGCATTTTTGTAGCCTAGTAACCCAAATGAACTTCTTGCAGAGATTATGTAAAGATTATGTTTCCTGAGTATTTTCCTGGTTTGTTTTCTTCTGCAGGAGAGCAGACTAGCATGTTAAGTACAAAGAATGCTCTTCCCTCTAACTAAAAATACAAAATCAGCACTTTATCTTGATTGCAACTGTTATCTTGTCTCTTTTTTGCCTCACAGAAGGCTGCAATGATCATTTGTAAATATTCCTCCGGCACACAGGCACAGGAGATGTTTTAAGTTTATACTTTCAGTGGTTAATTCTGATGCACAGATCCATTTGAGGGATACATTGCATGCTCTGTTGCACACATACTCAGCTTGCTATATTTATCCATGGCTTCTCTGAGCTGCACGTATCTGCTGTATGTTCTCTGCTGGTGAAACATCCCTTCAGACCTCGTCTGTGTTATAAATGCAGCAGCTTGGAGACAGCACACAAACGACCATGTTACAGTTCCAGTTTGAGCAAGAGCTTAGCAAAAGCTGCTGAGGCATGTACGCTCAAAAAGGGGCTAAAAGTTACTGCTTAAAAAGCGGAGAAGTTCAGGCAAAATTAAGGGAAGTGCATAAAAATGTCAGAGCAAGTGTAGCAATACTTGAAAACTATGCTGAGTGCGTTCTTAGAGGAGAAGCTAATGTCAGAAATAGGAGAGTGAAGGGGCGAGTATTGTGAACTGGAAGCTGGAAATAAGTGTCATGAACTGGTACCAGTTTTAAGTATTTAAAATGAAACTGCTGTCCATAGCAAGGATAAGGATGAAAATTGGTTCAAGCACACATACGTCTTCAGAACATCCTAGGAAATGTCATTGCATATAGCTCATCTCTACAGTGTAAAGAACCAAGTCCTGCTTTCTGATCTTGGCAGCTGCTAGCTTTGATGTCATTTCATCCTAAATGTATAATTGCTGTCCTTTTTCTCTGTACAAATTATTACCTCATAGACTTGCTGCTCTTTGGGACATGTGACAAAAACGTGAGGGTAGAAATATTGGAGAGAAAGCAGTGGTCAAAGGAGTTCTACAGAGATGAAAGAATGACTCAATACACAGATGAAATAAATGTACGATAGTCTAAGAGGAAAGAACATGGAAAATCAAGAGTGGTTAATTGTTACTGAGGCTCTCATTAACCTCTGGCTTATAATAGCATACTTTGCCTGGTTTGGTTGAGTCGTCTTTATTCCAGCCCTTTGCATTGGATGAATGTGATCTCTAGTAGACAGATGGCTGTCGGGCTTGCATCCTGTGAGTCATGAAACCAGTTGCCCTGAGATACTACCTCTGTGTGTGTCAGCAGTCTTGGTTCTACCAGCTAGATGGTGCAATAGCAAGCTGTACCAGAAAACGTACAGTAGTAAAAAAAAAAGATGTTTGGTCTGGCATCAGCACGGGGAGTACAATGTAGATAGCATCAGGTCTTTGCCAGCAATGAGTTTTTCATGGTGTACCCCAACATCTCCAACACAGGTGGTGGGATATTTTAATTCACCAGTTTTGCTCAGAAGCTCTGACTTGGAAGGCACGTTTGTGACAGCTGGATTGAATGATGCTCAGTTCTTCTCCCTAGCAGAATGTAAGGAGCTGGGGAACTCTTATGCTCCTGAGATTGGGTCTTGTCCCTTACCTGCCCAACTGCTCTGCTTCCCTCTTCCAAGGGGAGATCACCCTCTCGTACCTTTCCTTGACGTGTTTGTAGCTGGGTGAAGCAAACCTTTGAGGAAGCTGACAAGAACGGAGATGGCCTGCTGAACATTGAAGAGATCCACCAGCTGATGCACAAGCTAAACGTGAACCTGCCCCGCAGGAAGGTGCGGCAGATGTTTCAGGTTGGTGACCTCTAACACCCACTGCTATTGGGGTGAGATGGTGCTGTGTCTGGTCAGATCCAGAACAGGCTCTGGAAGTTTGCACATAAAAGTGTGTCCTCCGTTCCAGATTTTTCCAAAGTCATGTTGTTTTATGGACAAAGATGCATCAGAATGCTGCCTTAACAGAACAGGCTACATAGAATTGAATTCATTAATGCTTCATAGAAGAGTATTCATTAATAGTACTTTTTAAAATGCATTGTTGTTTTCATTGCTATGAACTGAATTATTCTATGCTGGCATTGATAGGCAATAAAGTTGTTCTATTGAAATTTTTTTTCATTTTCTTTGTGGAAAAATATTTAATAGAAACTGGCTTTATGAAAGTAATTACAGTCTTTTAAAAATTCCTCTCTTAGCCAGAATCAATTTTTTATGTCTATTGTGTGAAAACAGTTGCTATTTTCCACCAGTCCATTTGTTTACACTGTAGGAAAGGAAAGACAATCCAAGGCATAATGGAAAGCAAAATAAATTTTTATAATTTCAAAAAATGGTGCTACCCAGAATCCAGTTTGCTATAAAACACGGGGAGGTGGGAGAATCTTGTGTGGTCAAAAGTGCATTGTTTGTCTGGCATAAAGTCAGCATCTCGTGGAGCGTAGGTCACTGCAAGGGTTTGGGATGCGTTGAGATTGGTAGGGTTGTGATGCAGAGGTGAACTTGAATTGTGTTTGTTCTCACAAGCAATAAACATCGTTTAAGGTGTGGGGAGGTGGTTTTAAAATCACAGTCAACACCAGATAGCTGGGAATGAATTTCTTCTTGGCTTGCTGTGATCTGAATTTAAAGCTCAGATGACAGTCGCACTAGCAAAGTGTGGTAAATGCAGCTCCTTGAGTTCTTTAGTTTTTGCAGATATTGCTGGCTGCTGCAGGAGAAGTAGACCATTGGGAAGCTATGTGCTAATAGGAAATAGGCAATTAGTTTGCTCTGGATTATTAAAGTGCTAAAGAATGAGGTAAGGCAATTGCTAACAACCTCCAGGGAACCAATAGGGAAGGGCAAAGTAACTCTGTGACAAATCCTCAGCCCTATATCTAGCTGTCCTGCATGGCTCTTGCACTTGGTCAGCTGCAGTTGATGCTGTTTGTGAGGCAGGGTTAGAGCTTTGGGGCGAGCACCAGCAGCTCTCTGGGGGAGCATCTCTGGCTCCACAGGGATGGCTGGGCTCACAAAGCAGAATAGGTCTGTCCTGCACTGAGGACCAGAGCGTGGGGCTGCTGCTTTGGTTGGTTGTACTTGGTGGGAGTCAGTGGTGTAAACGGTGCCTCCCATCCTAGGGCAGGCCTGAATATGAATGAAGCAGCTTCTGTGAAGGGAAAGTAAAATGTCATCCTTGGAATGTAAAGCAGACCAGGCCTGCTTGTTGCATCTGCTATTAGATGGGCTCCTTTGCTCCAGAAGGAGGTTGGGCATGAACTGCTAGAGCTTTCTTGAGAAGGAAGAAGTGATAATGAGATGGAGATGCTTACTCCTTCTGGAGAGGGATTTCTGTTTGGTGAACCAGTGCAGAGACAAGCCATCAGGCCCAAACAAGTCAATGTTAGGAGGGCTGCAGAGAAGGCATTCTGACTTGCACAGTAGCAAACCCTGCCTTTTTAACACTGCTTTGAGGGCAACAAGGGGGTTTATTATAATGAGAGAGAAAGCATTGTATTACATCTATGAATAAAAGGGATTATTCTAGGAACATTAACACATTGCTACACTTTCATTTTGTCATCTGCTTACACTCTAAAACTCAACAGGAGTTGCAGCTTTCCTGAAGTTTGGTTATTGTGGAGACCTAGATAATGTTTGACAGCAGTTCTCCAGAATATATTCTTTGTTTTGAAAATCCAAAGCAATCCTCTTAGGCAGATGTTCACAGTGAAAAGCTTGCATTAACATACGTTAAGTACTGTTTTCTTCTCTTCCTACCTCTAAGGATAAACAAAAAACTGTAATCAAGACTGGGGCTGCTGGGGTTGTATTTCGGTGTGCAGTCTTAGTGCTGCTGCAGTCTTGGACCCCCTGTGGAGAGCTGACAGGGGGATCAGAGTGCTGCAGTTTGAATTACCATTAATTTAAGACTGTGGCCTTGTTTTGAATGTTTTTAAATGTCAGACTCTGTTAGAGGAGGCTAAGGGGTGAAATTACAATGTTCCTTGCTATGTTATAATCCAGGATAACTGCAGGACATGAAGGAGGGCAGTAGATCAGGAAAAAAAGCCCAGGGCGTGCTTCTTTACTTGGGAAACAAGTTCAAAACTGAAGGTGGAACTGAGACCTTCGTAGGGATCTGCAGTAGTGCTGTTTTCACCCAAAAATGCAATAGATAGGCTAAAATAATAGCAAAATGATAATACTGTGTGTATTAGGATTTGAGCCTGCGGGTTCGAATTGTTTAAATTTCTGTTCTTATATGTAACTTGTTCTGCTTTGTTCCTTGAATTCACCTGCATCCAGCATGCTTACCCATCTTTTCCTCTTAGGAAGCTGACACAGATGAAAACCAAGGGACTCTAAATTTTGAAGAATTTTCAGTGTTTTACAAGATGATGTCCTTGCGTCGAGACCTCTACTTACTGCTCCTAAGCTACAGTGACAAGAAAGATCACCTCACCGTTGAAGAACTTGCTCAGTTTCTGAAGGTGGAACAGAAGGTATGGAAATATATATTCATACATATCTACATGCTTATAAATCAGTTCAAGTACAGGGAAAAAGTGGTGTGGGAAAACTTTAGAATGGAGCACTTGGGAAAGAACTATGGGTTCTTTTCCCACTATGGAACTTAGGAAGAAATATGGGTTTCCTTTTTTGTTTAGCAATAGATGTAAATGCTTCTAGAAACAATCTGAGCTTTTTTTTTGTTACAATGTGGTAGAAGAAGGGGCAGCACCTGGAAGAAATCTCTAGCCATGCCTAAAGGTGTTGATCCAGTGGAGGTTTTCCTGCCTATCTGGGGAGAAACTGATCACTGAACTATGGAAGTTGTCTGTGGAACTCTTGGAGAAAACTGGTATGCTAGACAGTGAGGAACACTAGCACTCATGTTTACTTCTGGCAGTTGGTCCTGTGTTGTTTGCCCACCTCTTGGATCTGTGCAGAGAATATTGTTCCACAATAACCTCTGTGTTAACACCCCCCAAAAACCTACTTGTGCTTCATGAGTACAGATGCTGTGTGTTGCCTGCAATCACAGGATAGTGTCCTGTGCCATTCTGGGATCCTGCCTGTAATAACTGCTTTATCTGAGTTATCCCTGCCATAAAATTATCAAAAGTCTCTGCTTTTTTGTTGCTTGATTTTTTTCCTCTGCTGACTCTTAGGACAATTCTATGGCATGTACAACTCCTCAGTTCTTCCCTTGAAAGGGGAAGGCTCCCCTGAAACACAGAACATTGTTTTATCACTGATCTCGCTTTGACAGCCTCAACACAGAGGATTTCCTGCAAGCAGTCTGGTCCTGGCGATTCTGCCAATTGCAGCTTCAAAGCACAGTGCATTTGGATCTTCCCCTTCATGCTCTGTTCCAAGTCTTCTCGGCTCTCTACTTTTTCCTTTCTTTCCTTTTTTTTTTTTTTAAAATCATTGTCTTCTACCTGGGCGCCCTTCAGTGGAGCACCACTGACAAAGGCAACAAATGGGAAACAAATGCTCCCAAGAAGATGTGTGTGGAGATGCTGAAGAACTCAGGAGCTGCTGAAGAACAGTGGTAGAAGAAGGCACGGAGAGACTTAGACCTGTGAGTGCATGAGGACATCACGAAAGTACTGATGCAGCAGAAAAAGCGAGTTGACAGTCAAGTCTGGAATACTGCACCCATCCTATCTGCACACTACTCGAAATCCTGAGTGCAGAATGACCTATGAGCAGTAATGCTCTCAACATTTCTTCCCTCCCCCCTGCAAAAGGAAGCATGACCTCCAGAGACGAATCTCTAGGCAATGTTCTTCAGCAACACCTTGCACTTTCTTTGCCTCTTCCCTTGTCTTCTCACTTCCTAGTATCAAATGTTAAAGCAAATTTACGCTTCTGTGTTTTCAGAACGCAGATATGATGTCAGTGATCTCAGGTGAGGCAAGATTGCCTTCAAAAGCTGGTGGTGGTTCAAATCATAATGCAGCACTGAAGTGCCTCCAACCAAACCTCATACAGCTTTTGCTCTTGTCTAGCTGCTTGGCAATCTGTGGGCAGTCTGTCCAACTCCATCTGCTACTCTTTTGGCGAGGCTTTTGAATATGAGGATGGAATAAAAGGGTTTGGGCTTTTTTGTTAACTTGCTAAGCTGATGGCTTGGTTTTCTTTCTTTTTTCTTTTTTTTTTTTTTTTAAATAAGAATTCCCTGTTGCCCTTACCCAAGAGCTTGTGAAACAGATTACTTCCACTTAATTGCAGTTAAACTCAGCTCATTGAAATTGCAATTTTATGGCTTCAAATGTCAGAGAAGCAGAAAACAGGCAAAAAATAGGCTGGTTTCCTGGAAGGTACTGCAGTCTTCTTAACCATAAGTGGCTGTGAGGGAGGAACATCCCTGGATGTGCAGTCCTATCTGCATGTCTGATTGCTGTCCCACTGGGAGTGCCCTTTCCTGATAAATCGATATGAGCTTGGAAGTTGCTCCCCTGCTAAATGACAGATCGCTTCTGTGGCAAGGTCTCCAGGGGCTTTTGACTGATGGCATCTCATACTTGGCTGTAAGTTCTTGACAAAATAAGCTCTGCATACGCTCTCTTCCCTGTTGAAGACCAGCTTTGTGGTGGCTGGCCACTCTGGATCTGCCCAATATAGAGACTGGTCTCATGCTGCCCCACTGATTCGGGCCCCCTAGCGATGCTGTCCTGTATGCAGACTCTCAACTTGAGGTTGCTGTTTGTCCTTCCCTCCTTGCTGCTGTATTCATGTCACGTCAAGTGCTTTCCTTTCACAGTCAGCAGAGACCTCTTTTCTGTTCTGGATGATTATTTAATGAAGTTATGCACTTTGGTGTTGCAAACCTGAAGCATTTGGTTCTGGTTCTATAAGAGTAAGACTGCAAGAAGGGAGTATCCTGCATGCCTACTTGCCACCTGCTGCTTTCCTATGGATCAGTTACTTTGCACTATACCTCACATCTGTGCTGAGAAAACGGCCAACTGCTGAGATCCTGCCTCCAGCAACATTCTCTGCATGCTCCAGGAAAGTTTACTGCTTGTTATATGCTTGCCCTATTCCACTTCTTGTGCTTATACAAAGGGGTAATAAGTATTACTGATTGAGGTGATAACTCCATATATCATGACATTTTTCTTCCAATCTCAGTTTAGATGTAAGATGTTGATGTAGGGATTTGCTTTAATGAAATATATTTTGATTTTCTTAAAGAATAATTAACTATTAACAACTGGAGGCTAAACTTCCAGGCTGATGCAGGCTCATGGGTTGGCATCCTATCTGGATACACCTGTCACTGGCAGTTTAATTTCTACTTTCTTTGTTTTCTAACTGTTCTTCTACTTCACGTTATTTCATTTCATTTCCTATGAGAATATGGAAAACAAGGGTGATTCCTGTTCTTAGTTCTGAAGTGCTCTGCTTTTCTGGAAGAGAACATCTTCGGTAGTCCTTGCATCTAGATGCACACCAGTGATATTCGCTACCATTTGACATTCTTTCTAGTGAAAGAATGAAAAATGTAATGGAAATAAATTTATATTAGTTTCCTAAGTCTCAATCTCTCAAACTACAGTTAAAAAGCACAAATCAGTGAAGGTTTCCTTAACAGATGCTGCTTTGGGCTAGACGTTTTCGTTCTTAGAGCACATGAGTACTGTGCTCTTGCCTGTCAAGGAGTGGCATGGGATAATGAAAATGGTCATTCTAGTCAGCCTCTGCTGAAGAAGGGCTGCTCTGCATGGTGCTTGCACTCAAACAGTGATGTCTACTTGAGCTGGGATAATCAGTTATTTTCTCTATCAAATTGTTCTCATTCCCATTCTCCCATGTAATTCCAGCAGGCGTCTCATGACGTTGACTTAGCTAGGAGACATAAATGAACTGTTTGGACAAGGCTAGGCAGTGCTTCCCTGGGCAAGAGGAAAAGCAAAGGGAAGGCTGAAGGGTGGAAGGACTGGAAAATCTCTCTCCACATTAACACTTCTTTCAGCTTGCCTTACCATATGTGTTGAATTGCTCACTTGCTTTCCTTCTGTTACTACGTTTCTAATGTTGACACATCTAGTTGCTTGGTTTTTTTCCCCTTCTCTGGTAATTTTTCATGTTTAGGCTGTAGCCTTGTAGGTGCTATGAGGTATGGTTGGTCATGGTGCCCACATTTCTTAGGGAGAGCTCCACTCTTGGTAGGATCAGGATCTTACAGAAGACCAGATCCAGATAATCAGCCTGCCCTGGGCAGATTTCCATGCTGTTGAATGCCAGTGCTGGGAACGCTGAGCTATAGGAAATAATGGAAAGAGCAAATTAGTTGGAGACTACAGATGGAGCAGATTGGATGGAACTGGTTTTCCATCTGAGAGAGGAGTCCATTTGGACAGGGTTCACAAAGGGGCTGTTTTCCGTCTTAAAGAGTGAAGGCTGCAGGATCTGCAGGGTGAGCAGTCTCGCTCCTGCCTCTGCCTGAAGCAGTCGTGCTACCAGAGATCTCACTGTGGGTAAGAGAGGGGACCAGAGCACACGTTCCTCTGCTTTCAGACTGCTCCTCACACTGATTTGCACAAGGGTGTTTGAGCTGACTTTGCCAAGTGTGCAAACAGTAAACAGAACAGTGGTATGAATGAGCTGCCAAAGTTCAGTGTCGTTATTATCATTCTGTGATATAATTAGTAGAGGGAATAAAATGCACCCAACCTGAGTTTTCACTTTGGATCCATACAGCTTTAGGGGCACGCGGGTGAAAAAAGATGGTGGGTGTGATGAAAAATGCTTTCCTCTAGTTTCAGAGGAAACGTGAGCGTGCTCTGGCCTCATGAGTCAGGACCTTGACTGGGAACGTGCTGGAGCTGATGACAAAACTCCTACTTGTTTCAGAAGGACTGCTGTTTTTCGTTTTGGAATCTAATTATTTATCTCAGAGCCTGTATATTACTCTGCTAGAGAGTGAAGTCTCTTGAAAGTAATGAAATCACAGGAGTGGAAAATACTGGAAAAATGAAATCAAACCCTGCAGATCTTTTCGCATGTCTAAGTAGGTTGCACTGAGGAATAGTGCATCATAGTTCTCATTGCAGCACTACTGCCCAGCACCACTATTGTCAGTTGTGCTTGACAGCTATTTTCTTCAATCTTTCAAACTGAAATGACACAGCTGTTAGCAGTGACCACTACCTCTCATTCCTATTTTTCTCCTAAAAGGTAAGAGCCACCAGGCTGGTGGAGCACTGACAAAAATCAGGTGCTTTTACAGTAGGATTGCTGGCTGTTCCCTCCCTAATTGACTCAACTTGGTGTCTGATTACAAGATTTTAAACTGCTCTGGGGTAGATTTTGACATGCTGGTCACATAGTAGGAAAAGTAAATGTACCAACACTGTATTTTTTTGTGCAGATGAGTAATGTGACACCAGAATATTGTCTTGACATCATACAGAAGTTTGAAGTATCAGAAGAAAACAAGGAGCAGAATGTTCTTGGGATTGAAGGTAAAGCCTTTTGATTTCTAAATTAGCTTTATGTCCTGATCTATTACAGTGGAATAGAAGGGCTTTATCAGTGTTTTCATGTAGCCTGTATAGCAGTCAGCTGCACAGGTGTGCATTTTAATGAAATAGGAGAGACAGGAGTAGGTGGGCTGAATTATGCCTGGCAGTATCAACAGCCAGCATCGTGGCTACAATATGTTGCTGTATAACAGACTAATTTGGATGCCTCAGGCTTGTGTAAATTTATTGCTAGCTGTGTATTAAAACACAACACAATATGTAATTTGTAGTACAATATGTTCTAACGAAGTAACAAAAGCAAAGTTTGTGTTCTGCTCTGTGTATAGTTGGGATCTCTACTGTATGGTCCACTGAGTTATGCTTAATCTCTACTATATGGTCCATTGGTTTATGCTTATGTGAAGTAACAGAAGATCAGTTGCATTTTCCTTGAGTTTTGTTAATGAATTCTTTTAGTAACTTATGCTTGTTTGCTAAAGCAATTGTGGATGGTTTATTTATTCAAAATTCAACTTAGTATCAAATCCACATCTGAACTGGAATGAAGCAGATTAAGTGCTATGGTCTGTTAATTTGCCCAGAAGGTAGCTTTCATGAAGCAGAATGATTTGCTTGGAGATTTCTGTAGGAGTGGGGAAGTTCCTCTGTGCAGTGCTTGAGGTGGGGAGGCTGCAGCCGACGTTCTGTTTTTGCTGTTGGTTGTTAATTGGTTAATTCTGAACAGGCTCATTTCAATGCCATGTTTTGCAAATACTTGCTGATTGTGTGGAGTTTTTTGGCAGTCATGAATGTGTTTTTCTAGATTATACTTTATTTTCTAATTCAGAGCTTTTTAAAAACGGTCTGGGGACAAGGTTTGGGTCTTGGGAGTGTTCTTCTCAAAGGTGCTAGAACTCCCTCAGGATTTAAAAATAAAATAAAAAATGAGCTGCGTTCGTACCAGCAGTAGATTGATGCTGTGCACCATCCTCAGTTTGCAGAGAAAGAGGCAAGTCCCAAAAATCTAACTTACATGGTGAAAATATGGGGTACAGGAAGATCAATTCGTGCTGTGTGATTCATCAGTCTGGGGGGACAGGAGTTAACACCATATACATAAATAGAAAAAACAACCACTGGAGTGCAAGCTGTTTGCGTGGCATCTTTGAAGAACTGTTTCTTTGTTCAAAGGTTTCACCAACTTCATGCGCAGTCCTGCTTGTGATGTTTTCAATCCATTGCATTGTGAAGTGCATCAAGATATGGATCAGCCCCTTTGTAACTACTTCATCGCTTCGTCCCACAACACGTACCTGACAGGAGACCAGCTGCTGTCCCAGTCCAGGGTGGAGATGTATGCACGAGTGCTGCAGGATGGTTGTCGATGTATTGAAGGTATGTGTGTAGTATAACTTGCTAGTTGTGAGAGGTATTTTCAGCACAGTGAGTGACAGACCTAAAGCGGCCACGCTTTACTGCCTTGTTAATTTCAGATAAAACCAGTTGCAAGATTTTCATTTAATAAAAATGTGGCTTGTTAATTTGAACTTAATCAGAGTAGATTGAATAGATGGAGTGAAACTTCTGACGCCTGCATAGTTGTGTTCATGAGTTCCATTGGCAAGATTAGCAGAAAAATATAAGATCATGGGCTTCCCTTCACATGAAGCTTTTTTTGTCTTAACAGTGGATTGCTGGGATGGTCCAGATGGAGAGCCAGTAGTGCATCATGGATACACACTTACCTCTAAAATATTCTTCCGTGACGTGGCAGAAACCATCAATAAATATGCCTTCATCAAAAATGAGTAAGTGGAGAGTTGGTTTTGAAGCTAGAGCTACCTGTTCTGTGTAATTAATCTCATGTCAAAATTGAACCAGAAAGTATGAGTAGTCCGTGAAACGCTCTGAGAAGTTAAAAAGCTGATTCTGTTCTCTGTTTAAATAGGATGCAGGCAATATTGTTCAACTTCCTGAACAATACTGTCAGGGGAGCTTGAAAGCTCAGCTGAAGTTAGGAAGACCTTTCGTGTGTTTTTAACTCGGTTGTTCTTTGAGCAGTCTGAGGCTGTTCAGTATCTAGTGATTATCTTGGGTCTTTGTTTGAGCAAAACTTCCCACTCATTTCCCCTGGGAAATTCTCCTTGAAAATCAATGCTGTGCTGCTCTCTACCTAAGGAAATGCTTTATGTCAGTAGGAACGTAGTAAAGCTGTCTTATAATACAGAGATGAGAGGTAATGTTTAAATTCTAATTTGCTTTCTGTGGTTACTATATAACAAAATTTATTATCAAAATAGTAGGGAGTTGGGCTGTATATACACACAGCAGTCTCAGAAGATAATGAGTAGGCATGTAGAATTTTGAGTAGCTTGGAGAGAATAAAGGACTGGAGGAATTGGATCCTCATTTGGTGTGTGGTTGGGCTCTGGGGTTCCTTGCCTTACAATTTTGGCTCTGCCAAGAGTTTAAAAAAGAACTGGGCAAGTTTTTGGAAGAATTAAGCCTTTATGTACAGAAACAATGTCTCTAGCTCAGAAAACATTAACTGAAAATTCCTGGAGCCTGTGAGAGTGTTCTGGAAAGTACTGCCAAGTATTTCTGCTGCTCCCCAGTCTGGTCATCTTCAGAGATTTGGTCTGGCTCACTGTAGTTGCAGTTCAGACAAAAGCAAATTGATCTTGCTGCTATCATAAAGCCTTTGGAAGATGAACAGGGAGATGTTAACAAGTCCATTGAATCTGTGGATTTCAAGGCACTTGGTTATTGCAGTGTATGAAGACCATAGAGTGCAAAGGAATATTGTAATGTGTGAATAGCAAGGCGCTGCGTTGCTGAGGAGTTTCATGGTGCGTTCCTTGGTCTGTGGCTCACGCTCAGTGATCAGACACTGGCACCTGTGTGCTCGTGGGATGGGGTTGGGGATGGGGACAGAATCTCCTGCAGCGACTGTCAAAGGGATTCTGACTGCACGGGGATTTGGGAGTTCATGTGCAAAGTCCTCCCTCGCAAGGGGAGTTTGTTTCCAGGCTGCTGACAGTGTGAGAGCAAACTGCTCAGGATGGTTTGTGGTCAGCTGTGCGGGTCTGCTCTCCTAAAGCACCGTTATGTCACTGTCTGGGGTTTTGTTTCTAGGTTCCCGGTGATACTGTCTATTGAAAACCATTGCAGCATTCAGCAGCAAAAGAAGATTGCTCAGTACTTGAAGGAGATACTTGGTGACAAACTGGACTTGTCATCTGTAGTCACCGGAGATTCCAGGCAGCTTCCTAGCCCTCAAAACTTGAAAGGGAAAATCCTAGTGAAGGTAATTTGCTACTGATGGCACGTTGAAAATCTAATGGGAGGCAGCGCCTGGTATTTACTGTGTGTCTTTGGCTTTGGGGAATAAGTTTTATCTGTGCCACCATGATTGGCCCAGATGCAGTAAGTTAAAATTCCAAGCTTTTCACAGAGATACTGATATAAAACTCTCTAAACTCTAGCCTCAGCAAGTGGCCCAGAACATTTCTGTGAGTGTTTTAACAGGGCAGTTATATCAACGGTAAGGTATACAAAATTCTTTGTGCTTCTTCAGCACCTTATCTAAGGGTCTTGAACTCAGAGATGCTGATTATTATTATTTTTTTTTTAATCCGTAGCACTGAGTGAAGAAAACAGGGATGTGGTAAAAAACACATCGTTATGAATAGGAGGAAATGTGGCAATTACCTGATGCTTTCTCTTTTTCTGAAGTTTGTTGTTAGCGGGTGTTTTTCCCTATTGTTCATATTCCTGAAGTATCTAGGAAATTTATAGAAGGAAAGATTGTATGCAGTGCTTTGGAGTGATGTAAAAATGTCTGAAAACATGCATTTTCATGCATTGCCCCCTCACCCTGCTATGAGCAGTAGTTCATGAAATGAAATGAAACTATTTTCATGGTTCACCAGCTGCATTTATGAAAGAAGAGCACTTCAGAAGGTGGCTAAAGAGCAGCAAGGGAGGCTCTGCAGCACTGTGGTTAGTGTTGTATGCAACCTGAGTTGTTGGAGCCCCTCTATGCAAACATATTTGCTCTTGAAGGAATTTCAAAGGCAGAGATGTAATATGGAGGCAATGCTAGGCAGGCCATTGAGATGATGATTAATGAAATTGTAGCTCATTAAGTTGTCTAATTTACTTTGGCACATGAGGAGAATTACTCTGCTGTGAGCACTCGAGATACCATTTTTCTGTGTCAAGCTGTCTGTAGCAATTCACAGTAGGTTTGATGTTAGGTTGGACATTTCGATATAGCAGAGATATGACTGATTTAGAAAGCCTTCAGGTGCTCAGCTGTGGTTTTGCATTTCACTGAGGCAGTTTTCTTGTTCGTGAACTATGTGAGTGTGAAGCATTGGTGTTTTAGGGAGCTGAACAAGATAGCAGGTAATGCAAGTTGTTGCAAAACATAGTGAATCCAGCTTGAATAGGTCACTGAATAAAAGGCAGGAGGTCTGGCACTGTGCTGGTCTGCCATGAATTTCTGAGCTGCTCTTCCTAGCACATCTGAGTTTGGAACTTTGGGTCAGCTCTTCAGCTAACAGTGGTTGGAGCCCTGTGAACAGTCACAGAATGGTGTGCAGCTGGGCTGATGCTTCTAGAATGAGGAACTCCATTTTCAGCATCACAGAATCTACCACAAAGCCCTATCTCCCATCTCCAGTTCAATTTTAAACAGTCATATCAGGAAAGATAAAATATTTAGCTTCTTGTGGAAGTAAGCAAGTTTCTCATCTTTTTTACTACTATTTATGCTATTCTGTGCCTTTCTCTTTGAAATACAATATTGACTAATTAGCTGAAGAATTTCAAATTGTGGCCATAATTCTCGTTTTGCTACTGAGTATAAAAAAGATTTCTGGTAATACTGAGGGATTTAAACCCATGTAAACTTCAAGTCATTACCAGGACAGCATTATTCATTTCAAAAGCCAGTCCTTAAGTCAGTCCTCTTAATTTCCTCAGAAACCCAGTTCTTGTCTACCTCTGTCTGTGATAAATCAGACAAACTGCAAGTGTTCCTGCAAAAAGAGAGGATGACAAGGAAATGTAATAGCATAAAAACTTGTTTTCATAGCATTAATTTGGCCTCTAGGCCCAATTTATTAAGTAGCAGACAGCAAAACAAGAGGCAGCACCAAAAGTTACATCGTGGGAGATTCAGAACGGGCAGCAGGAAAAGGCTTTCAGCAGAGCATAGTGCAGCATGGGAAGAGGCTGCCCAGAGAGCTGAGGGAGCCTCCATCCTAAAAAGCTGGCAAGATTTGGCTACACAAAGCTCATCTAGAGCTGCCGTGGTCCTCCTTTAGCAGGAGGTTGGACTAAAGACCTTCAGAGGTCTATAGGCAGCATTGCTGCAGTTCTGAATTTGGGCCTTGCCAGAAGTGGTCAAACAGGAAAATTAAAGTTGAATGTTCCAGTAAGTACAATTCATCTTTCAGACCCTCGACTTTTTTTTTTTACCAGAAGTAACCAATAACCTGATACTCACCACTCTAATCAGATGTTGGAAACTAGACATGGAGTTGAAGTAGTTCCTTTCTAATGTAGGTATATGAAGCACAAAGTAGAGGATTAGCAACTAATGTTGAATTGCTGACTACGCGCTTGCATGAGCATGCAGTATTAAAATAAACTTTGCTGCTTCATTCATGTGATGGCTACTTGCAATGAGTTTTTTGTGTATGCATTTTCCCTTCTGATGCAGAGCCTATAACAGTCTCAGCTTCTGATTTTTGAGTTTTATTTGAAGCACACGATGGTTTGCTTGCTAGAGGTAAGCCTGAAGCACTGGGGAGGCAACTTTAAAAATTCATTGGCACTCACTGTCTTGCTCCAGAGATGGGAGATAGTGTGCTTTTTTGAACTAGCTTGCAAACGTCTTCCAATAACAAGCTAACAGAAGTACATCAAACTCCTTTTGAAGACATCATCTGTGATAATGTGGCTCCTTGAGCCAGCTTGCATGAGATAGTCTGAATTCTAAGCTCTGACCGCTTTTAAAATAAGCACTAATGGAGTAAAAGGATATTGGGGCTTTGGAGAACGTAACGCTGACCATGTGAGTACTAACTGTGAATATTTTTTTCCTCCTTTTTAGGGAAAAAAGTTGCCTTGCAGTCTTGGAGCAGATGCTGAGGAAGGAGAAGTTTCTGATGAGGATAGTGCTGATGAAATTGAAGATGACTGCAAGTTAAAATCCTGCTATGTATGTGCATGTACACATCTCCCAGAACTGTCATTCCTTGCATGTGTGTTTCATAATCCTGCTTGCTGTTGTTAGCAGACTAAGTTTTCTAACTCGGATTTCTAAGTCATGTCTCTTAAGATGCAGGAATTATATAATTCCATGTTTTGACAAGGACTGTGTTTGTTCAGAAATGCAGGACTTCTCATTTAAATCATGTAGATGACAAATATATACAGTAGCCAGCACAGTCAGCATGCTAGGCTTTTTCAAATACAAATGTACAGTGCAGTGTCATAATGGATTTATTGCACTGTGTCTAGGTGAAAAATTAAGAATAGAGACACACAAATAAAAAGAATTTGAAGTGTGAAAAATAGTTTTCAATACTTTCTCTAACATTAAAGAATGTTTTCTGTTTTCTTTATTTCTTAAGTCTTACTGTTTACTTTCCTGCTACTGATTTTATTAATGTTTTTTGTTTTTGCTAAACTGAACCTGGTGTGCAACACTGACCCATGTTATCCAACAGGTGCTTTGTTCTGGTCAGAAGTCAGCCTTGCTTCATTCATCAGTCAAAAGTTTTGAACTAAAGATATTATCAAGGGAGATTCAGAAAGAACAGATCAAAGTCAGATTAATATTTAGGAAGTATAGTGTTATTTATCTCCACTTCTGAATGCAGCCTAGTGATTTTTCCCTGTTGCCACCCAGAAGTGCCTCAGTGCAATTCTCATTAGCTGTTTATGGCTTGCATCCTGAGCTTTTAATTTGCCTGTATCATTTTGGCTGCTATTAGTAACTGAAAGATTTCCAGAGTAGCTGGGATTTGCTTTAGAGACAACAGAAGTCCCCACCTGAAGTGGTTCATTAGAAGGCAATGTTTGTGTTGGTCCAATTCAGTTTCCAATTCATTGTCGTGTGCTGCTGAATAGGAGCACTCTGTAATCCCCGTGTGCTCTGCTAGCACGACTTCTGATGTGCAGAAAGACCCAAGAGAAAACCTGCAGTCCATAATGCAGAAAGTCTTTTGTGTCCAGGAAGGGAGTCTGTTAGGACAGGCAGCTGCTCTCCTCCTGCCTCAAGAGAACTCTTGTGCCCCACAGGGAGAGGAATGCCAGGTGCACACTGCTGTTCTCAAGGATCCTATTTTAAGCATCTTATGTAAGAGACCATTTGGTGTTTGTACAGTCAGTGCTGCTATTAACTCAGATGATTCTGTCATTTGGTTGTAATTGTTTCCTCTCTTGTTGGAGCAGGAATCTAGTAGCCATTAGGTTGTTTGATATCATTGAGGAAATCTGTTGGTGATTAAGTTGTGAATTTGTGCTATGCTCAGAAAGAGGAGGTCGGACTTGTGACTGTTTGAAACACCAGGACCTGGGCTGGGCTGCTCTGTGCAGTGGGCAGCACTTTGGTGAGGCCTGCAAGGGATGTGTCAGGGACCTGAAGGGAAGAAAGGAAGGTGGCAGTGACAGTAAAAACCCCAGTTGGACAGGATTAGGCAAGAAGCTTTTTCTTGTTCAGAGAAGGGCAATGGTGGGAGTGCCTGAGGCACGTGCAGTGGTCTCTCAGGCTGACCCGGAGGTGGTGGATGTAATAATCTGTTTTACCTGGATCTCTTAATGCTTTTCAGAGTAACGGTGCAACTGAGCATCAGGTGGAATCTTTTATAAGAACAAAGCTTGAATCTCTGCTAAAAGAGTCCCAGATCAGGGACAAAGAAGATCCTGACAGCTTCACAGTGAGAGCACTGCTAAGGGCAACTCATGAAGGTTTAAGTGTTAACCTGAAGCAGGTAGGTGGGTGTTTTTTTCCTTCATTTCTGGGTATGAAATAAGGTGATGTGTTGCGCATTCCAGTGACTTATGAACAGCTGCTGATAGTTTTGTTTTATCTAAAATGAAAACATGAAATAGTTTCAGATAAAATGTCTAAGGATTTAAGTGATTGAATATGAAGAGTATCTCTCTCTGACCTGTTTTATTTTCTTCTACGTGTTGGAAGCAAGTAATTCAGGAAGCATCGATACTGCAAATAGTTGCCTTAGTCCTGCTGTGACTGACCATGGTAATTCAGCAGTGCTGTTTCCTGTAATGCACAGGATTGTGCTTTTACTGCCTGAAGCCAGGGTCTGTTTTTTTCACACCCAGACTGTTTCATGGTTGTGATATGTTTTTATTTCCCTTTTGACATCAAATTATTATTACAAAGCTATTGCAATAAAAACGTATTGGGATTTTGAATACACCAGGGCAGTTTGTACCTCAAATCCATAGTCACCATATTTTCACCTCAGCTGAATGCAAAATCTGTTTCATAAGCTGAGAATGAATTGTTCTGAGGGATGTACCTACTCAAATGATATGGTCTCCGAGGTCAACTACATGCAGTTCTTTCTGCACATCTTCCCAATCCATAGGTTTTATGTCATTCTTGTCAATCTTTTTGCAAGACTGGAGCTATGACACCTTTGCCTGAAGCCAGGCTTGACTGCATAGAATATGCTCATCTTGTCCTGGTGCTTGAGATGTCTGGTCACATCTGTGTTGTGATGGGAAGGGGCTGTGAGCATCCGAAGGTCAGAGCCACCTGACCTTGCATAGAGAGGTTGTTTCCAGATTGTGATTTAGCAGCTGAAGCAGGCAGCTTGCCTCTTTACTTTGGCCTCTGTGTGGTTGTGGAAGTGGAACTTCAGAGAGCAAACTGTTAGTAAACACGATTTGATACGAGCCACTTCAGCATTACTTTGAGTTAGAGCAATGTTTGAACATCTGTCAGGTTGTAATATCTCTAATATTTTGTGATTGACTTATTTAAAATTATTGTTGGACATCAAGATCCCTTCCTGCAGCAATGCGATGCGAACACTGGGGGGATGCCTGACCCTTTTCTCAAGGGTCTTTAAGCAGTACAGAGCTGAGCAATGAGTAGTAACAAGAGGTAAAATAACTGGCAGATTGGTTGATATCAGCTGTTGACTAAGATGGAAGGAAATTATAAATGGTTAAATGTGCTGGCTTGATGATTCCGTAACTTATTTGCTCACTTTGGCAGCCCTGTTGTAAAGCTCTGCTCTGACAGTTGCTGTGTAACTGCTGAGCCAGAGGCAGGCTGCTGGCATTGGCTGTGTACTTTTCAAACCTCTCTTTCCTTCCCTTCCTCACTGACAGACTTCCAATTTTCCAGAAGATTTGCTAATTTTCAGTAACTGAAAAACCCAAACCAAAGAAGAACCCAATGTTTTACGATGCAGATTCACATGCTATTGCCAGTAGATGCCATGTTCTCTATGAAGGTTTTTTATATGTTTGTGGAGTTGTTTTTGGGGTGTGGGAGAGGAGAGGGGCAGTGTGTCCTGTCAGTCAGTTTGGATTTGCTGTTGGCAATGCCAAATACTCATTCTTATCTGAGAGAGACACAACCTTCATCTGCTTGGGTTTCCTTCTCCACTTTATGCAGATTTTCAGCCTGAGCTAGGAGCAAATTTTTGAATGTAGATACGGTGATTATTGGTGAACAATGCACCTAATGCTTCTGTGGTTGTTATGGCCAGAGGTAATGTGCAACACAATGCAGTGATGCTTGGAGTTTGCTGGAATCGCTGAAATGCTGGGGGAATATTCCTCAGCATCTTTGGGTCTTTATTTTGCTCTTTGAAAGAAGAAGGGATATGTTTTTCTGGCAGGAAAAAGCTAGGTGCTGCCAGGAGTTATCAAAGCCATGTCCAGGGGCACGGCTGTGGGTGTGATGAAGCTTGGGCTCCAGGCTGTCTTTTAGCTTTATTTTTTTCCTCTCCTTTCCTTTGTGGCTATTTTTATGCGCACTTTCAGGTGTTTGTTTTTTATCGCTGTTGTTTTTGGCTGGATTGGTTTTTCTCTGTGCTTGGTTGCTGTCTTGAATATTAATGTTCATTTTTGTCTTCCTCTTGGAGGATTGCTCATCTAAATTAGAAAAGTCCTTTCATGAAATAGTTTTGAATTTGTGTTCAGAGATCAGTGTGTTGTGCTTAGACTTTAATTCCCTTTTACCTTTATTCTCCTGTGCAAATAATTATTCTCTTGTGTATTCTCACACAGTGGTGAATCAGAGTGGCATGCCAAAGCTTGTATTGGGTTAAAGCCCAGTGTCTTTTAGAGACTGTAGTGGACTCTAAAAGTCTGAAGGTATCCACTTACACTCGTTTTTCCAACTTTCCCTGTACAGAACCTGGACACGAAAGAAAGTGGGAAAAAGTCTCATAGTCGATCGTTAATGGGCAACTTTGGTAAACACAAAGTAAGTAAAACGAGAGTGATTTTGCTGGTCTGTCTGACTGTTCTAATGGCACAGGGTATGATTTATTGCGTGGTGTGCTTGGAGGCAATGAGGAAGGACTGCTTGATTACAGTGGTGTAGTTATTGCTGTTTAGAAGAGTGTAGCTGGCAAGAGTATGGAGAATCATCCAGAGACAGTCGCTGTACCTCGGAAAATCTTGCCTGGCCATAAGGATAATCTGAATTAGTGAAGGATAATTGCTGATATTTCTGATCACGCTTACAGCAGCAGCAGAGCAGTCTATACAAATGCCTCGATATGTTTTTGTTTTCCAGACTTCTGTCCATAAAGCTGATGATGTTTTTACTGGGGGTCTGGTTTTACCTTGTTCCACGCTCTGAGCAGGGCTGTGCAATGCCCTCCTGCCTGGCTTCTCACACAGGGGCTGCTGTGACTGAGCAGTGGCTCTGGTCCCACACACCTGCTTTGTAAAAGCGCTTTTTCCTCTGATCAGTTCATGGTTTGGCATGCACTATTTATATATCTGTAGCTACTGGGTCAAATTTTTTGCTTCTCTGGGTCTTCACTGGAGCAACTGCACCGAACCAAGCAAGAGTTAATGCAGTCAAAATGAGCGTGAGGTTTCCTGTTCCACCTGTGTGCGCTGCCTGAGCAGACAGCAGCCATCAAGAGGGACGAAGAGCCTGCGTTTCCTCTTGTTCTGTTGGTGGGAAAACAAATGCTGTGGGGTGAGATGTCACATACACGAGTCAGCTACTAAAAACAGATGGTTATAGTGAGAGCTGGAAAGCATATCAATAATTTTAATTGCTTCCACTAGCTATTCTAATGGATATAGCAGGGGGGAGAGACTGTCCACTTAATCTCTGCTGGGGAAAAAGAGGTCTGTGTGTGTAGTTTTTTATATATAATGATCTTAGTGTAGGTCAAGTCAGGGGGGACTTGCAGTAATTTCTCCCTCACACCTTTCCAGCTAAAGGGGATGCCTGGGAAAGATGATTACTGTTGATCTTCTTGCAGATGCAGAATTATCCAACGAGGAAAATGGACTTGTGATGTTTTCGGCCCTTGTTCCATGTATATGTGTGTAAAATCTTTAGAACCTCCAGTGGAGGAGAGAATGCCAAGGCTGGCAACTCCTGCAAGTTAATTGCAGGGATCATTAGGAAGTATTACTTTTCAGAAAGGGTGGTCAGGCACTGCAATGGATGCCCAGGGAGGTGGTGGAGTCACCGAGCCTGGGGGTGTTCAAGGAAAGGATGGATGCTGTGTTGAGGGACGTGGTTTAGTGGGAGCTATTGGGAATAGGTGAACGGTTGGACTGGGTGATCTTTTAGGTCTTTTCCAACCTTAGTGATTCTATGATTCTATCAGTCCAAACCTTTGAACCACTCAAATGGTCTCCAATGTGGTCAACTTTATTTCAGCGCTGAACAGAGCAAACTCAAAATATAAACCAAATTATGTGCATTATTAGTTTATTACAGCAGGAGAAATGAATTCTGTGCTCAATTATCATCAAACTGAATGAGCTGGAGAATACAGAGCTTTCAGTTATATTGTTGATTATCTCATGATGAGAAGGGAATTAAAGAAACTCTCCTTTGAACTCATTTGAACAGTAAGTGTTACAAAACATGTAATGTTGCTGAAATTGGACACTGTGAAAGCATCGACACATGCAAAAAGATGCTGCTATTTAATCTTTTTATCATAGCTAGTTGCTTTGATGTACACTACAGTAAATTGGAGTGATTTGAATGTTCTTTTGCATGGCTCAAAAGACAGCAGAAAAAAAGAATTTTGCCCAGAGGTTGGTTGTGTTCTCAGCTTCATGAGTCCACTTGTTAAATTCTCTAAATTGTGAAGGGAGAGAGAGAGAGAAGCATAGGTGAGTGCAGTGCACTGTACATGCACGTGTTGCAGTTTGTTAAATATGGTACTGGCTTTTGGAAATCCAGCAGGACCAGCGGAGGGGTGCAGAGCTGAGAGCTGTCCTCTCTGTTTCCCCCCAACTTATCCCCATTTACAGCCTGTTTGTGGCAGGAGGAAAGCTGCAGAGTGTGCATGGTGTGCTGCAGTGGGTCCTGGTTTGCAAAAATGTTTCTCTTGCAGCTTGGCCCTCGCTGCTGGCCAGCAGGTAGACCTGCTCTCTGGGTTTGTGGATAAGTGGTGTATCCTTGCAGAAATATCCTGTACACTAATGTCGTTGTGCTTGATTCTTTCCCATCAGAAAGCAGGGAAGGCAACGACCAAATGTAGCACATCAGATGATGATGAAAGTCAGCAAAACTCTTCGGGAAAGGAAGCAGGGCAGCTGCACAGGTGAGCTAAGCATCCCCGCATTTTCAGCTCAGTTGGATTAGTAGCACGTTGTTGTTATTAATACGTGTCTGTCAGAGCCTAAGTCGGGTTTTACAAGGCAAGGCATTTATGACAGCTCTGTTGGGATATGTTTTGCTATGACTGCTTTAGCCTGAGAGTTTGAATATGTAGGCTTTGATAGGTTGCAAACAGCAATTGCCCTTAAACTGAAAGGAAATGCGATAGAATACTTTCCTAATGGAAAAATGCCAACCTACATTTTGCGTGCTGTAAATAGTGCTCAAAGAAAACTGCTTAGCCTAAGTAGGGATACATCACAGCCCTGTCAGCTTTATTACATCTGAGAATGTAAAGAAAAAGCAATCAAAAAACCCCTTTGAGAATGCGTTTGCTGTCATTGAAAAGCTCCTTGGAGGCAACTCGAAGCTGTCTGCCTTTGCTTTGTCTGGAGAAGCCATTGTTTGGCTATTTCATTATGGTGTAAATAAAGAATGTTGTTTGTGCATTGTGACTGAAAGTACAGGGGAACAGTCATCTGAAAGACTGCTGAGAAACCTCTGTAAGGAGACTAGCCCCACAGAGTTCCCTGCTTACAGCACCTTTCTTTGCAGCTTGAGTTGTACAGCTGTTTGTTTCCTTACTGATGAAAAATAAAGGGAATTCATATATGCTTTAAATATTGAAAAACTCCTGCTTTGTTTTATGTGTTAAATATAAATCAGTAGATTGACTCGTCGAAGGAAAACTGTGAAGCTGTGCCGAGCTCTGTCTGACCTCGTGGTGTACACAAACTCTGTGGCAGCCCAGGATATAGTAGATGATGGTAAGTAGATGTCTGCAGTTTGTTCAAAGCGCTCACGTCTAGGATTTTGCAGGAAAAAAGACCCTGGCAATTAGTATGAACTCTTGCTTGGCTTTCCTTGCAATTCTTGAAACTTGAGAGTAGACAGAAGGCACTCCTGAAAGAGGAGACTGGTGCCCTTCAATTAAATTATACAGGTTGAGTATGACAAGACTCACTCTGATCTTCCCCTTGATTAATGCCAGTATAGCTGAGGTCTGAGCTCAGGCCTCCATGCCCTGGGATTGCTTTGTAACTCGTTTGTTGGTTAACAATGCATTCAGGATCAACAGGGAATGTGCTGTCATTCAGTGAAACCAGAGCCCACCAAGCAGTGCAGCAGAAGGCTGAACAGTTCATGCTTTACAACCAGAAACAACTTACGAGGATCTACCCATCGGCGTACCGGATTGACTCCAGCAACTTCAATCCTTTGCCTTACTGGAATGTTGGTTGCCAGTTAGGTGGGTGTTGCATGAGAATCTTGTTTCTGACTTCTTGGCTTTGTGCTGAGTAAATACGATCTTTATTGGTGACACTCAAGTCTTCTCATTTAACAGTGGCACTAAACTACCAGTCTGAGGGACGTATGATGCAGTTAAATGAAGCGAAGTTTAAGGTTAATGGCAACTGTGGTTATGTCCTCAAACCTCAGCAGATGTGCAAAGGTAATGTTCCACTTATATTTATTACTAAATAATAATAAATATAAAGGTAACAGAGGAATGTCAGAGGCAATTGGGTGTTTGAAGCTAGTTAAAGAACTCAACGCCAGAAACTTGTTGTTGTCAATGTCTGTGCAGATGTGCAAGAAATGTGAAGGCTGTTGATCTGAGTTGTAACTGTGGAGCATTTGTAAGGTTACTATATTGTAGAAGAATTTTTTTTTAGGGCAGGAGTCCTAAAAAAAAGAAGTCCTCCTTATTAGCAAGGATGGTCTTTTAATAATGTGAGGGTTTTCTTGTTTGTTTTTAAAATGGAATGAGTTTTAAAATTCATTAACAGCTGTTTTGTGCTCTCAAGTTAGTAGCTGATGTGTGCTGTGTGTATACATATTGCTTGTGGGGGTGAGGGGGAGTACCTTTAATTGAGTGCATCTATCCTTACACCTGCTTTCATTGCTTGCCAACTTTCAGGCTCGTTCAACCCCTATTCTTCAGATCCACTTCCTGCCAGTCCTAAGAAGCAGCTCATCCTGAAAATCATCAGTGGACAGCAGCTGCCTAAGCCTCCTGACTCAATGCTAGGAGACAGAGGAGAGGTAAAGCACTTGTTACCAACCAGTGCTTTTATGGCAGATTCTAGAATGACCTGGCAGCCTTTGACTCAAAGAATTTTTCTCCTTATTTAAATGAACCAACAACTCTCAGATATTGTCAAGCTTTCAGTCATCAATATTGGCATTTTCCAGAGTCTGTATGCTGCATGCAATGGTTAACAAGTAACTTGGTTTGTATTTTGAAAATGACTCTCATCTGGCCCTGGCTTTTGAGACTATAAACCACACGCCAGCACGGTTTGTGAAGCCATGTTGCATGAGTGTGCTGCTTGGAAATTGCAACAGTTCTTGAATAGGAATTTAAGTTAATTCTTTGTGTGAGTTTCCTTAGAATTGACCTTCGCTTATATCACTGGCTTGTTTTTAATGTATTGTTGTTTCTAAAATAGATAATAGATCCCTTTGTCGAGGTGGAAATCATTGGGTTACCCGTTGACTGCTGTAAAGATCAGACCAGGGTGGTTGATGACAATGGTAAGATAATCAACAGATTTCCTTTTCTTGAGAAAAATATGAAGTCATTACAAATGATTCAGTGTCTGTTATTGCTTTGTAAATTGCAGAGCCTCTTACTTTATGAAATCAAATGACTTTCTTCTAAATTAATTCTGCTTTCTGACCAGAATTTCTGGCGTAGGAGACACGAGTGAGAACTGTTCTACCACAATATCTATCTCCTGGATTGATTCTAAATCTCATTTGGGCAGAAATTCCAAATATTTGGATGTGTAAAATAATGTATAATATCAAATGAAATAAAAACAAATCATGACATAAGCCATTTTATGGCCACCTCCCCCATTATGGGAAGGAGGTGAAGAACAGAGTGGGATAGCCTGCTGCAGCAAGGGAGGAGGCTGTTAGCTTTTGTGAGCAGTTGCTCACAATACTGTGAGGGGGTGGAAGAGAGGAGTTCCTCTTTTGTCTTTCACCTACCACAGTTCTGTGAAACAGCAGCCAGCCTCACTGTCCCTGCCACTACACAACCAGAACCATTTTTTGGTAAAAACTGCCTGGCAGGTGGATTTCTTACTCTCAGTTATTTCTATAATGGAGATTGAGAGATTGTAGACATAGATGAGCAATGTGTAAATGAGTGTTCGTTGCGTATTTGGTCTGTTTGTTTCTCGTGCCTCTTGCTGTGATTCATGAAAATTGAGACCAGTGCTTGCTCTGACTGTGTTTCTGAAACTTTCTGCTCCATTTGTGTTACAGGGTTTAATCCTGTTTGGGAGGAAACGCTCACTTTTACCATCCACATGCCTGAAATAGCTTTGGTTCGATTTCTTGTTTGGGATCATGACCCTATTGGGCGAGACTTCGTTGGACAGAGAACGCTGGCCTTTAGCAGTCTTGTACCTGGTTAGTTCCGTGTGGTTTTTCTTGAATTAGATGTTTAAACAAAGATCAAATGCCTTTGGATTGCAAGTTTAAAACTAGGTGTCAACATAGCACGTATGCCTACATCTCCAAGATTTCATGTGTGAACTTGGGCAGTTCTGCAATGTTAGGGTTGTGCATTCACTGTTGAGTTTGGGTGGCTGGGATTGTGGAAATTTCTGCTGTCTTTCACTTGGGGCAGATTGCACTGTGAGACTTGGAAAACTCCTAAGGACAAACTAGGTTTTATTTAAGACAGCAGGTGTGTATGTTCCACTTTCACAGACACTCGTTGCCAGTTGTCCACAAAGCACACACAGCTGACTGGGATGCAATATTTTAATTTTACCAGGTTATCGACATGTGTATTTAGAAGGACTGACAGAAGCCTCCATATTTGTTCACATAACCATTAATGAAATCTATGGAAAGGTAGGTATATTTGCAAATTGTACGTATTTTATGAGATTTTGATTTAATTCTTCTGACAGAAATGAATCCTAGTGCATTTAAAATGTTTTGTAGAGTTTACAATGTGTTTTGTATGTCGTGCCTAGCTAACTCTGCAACTGATCAGTAGTAAAGTTTAAAGAAATTATTCAGTTCATACCAGGGTGGAATGAGCTGAGGACTGTAACTGCACCAGGACTTGGTATTTGGAAAGCACAGGAGCTGATTTGTCATAAATCTCATAGGTTTTAGTGCATACCTCTTGTTGCTTTTCTGAAAGATTACTTATTTTAAAGCTTGTTTTTAAAATGAAAGCAAAAGCACGGTGCTTCTTCTCTGCTTCAACAGCCTTCATGAACAGCTTTCTGAAGGTCAGTGGAGATCAACAACATACAGAAGTTGAGGCCAGGCTCAAGAGTCTACTAAAATAAAATGGACCTCTGTAGTGATTGAAAAATAATAATAATCAATTAAGGGTGTAGATGAAAAGAATGCTAGCTTTCAGTCTTTCTCCCTCTTGAGAGCAGATGCAGAGAATATTATGTCAAAGCTATTTCTGATAAGCAGCTTTTTGTCTGTTCTGGAGCCCTGTAGTTATCTCTGTGTGTAAGATCACAGCTCTGCAAGTACCCAAGGAGATCTCAGTAGAATGCAGAGAGGAGATAACATAGGCAAGGCCCAGGGGCTGAGATTTGGTGCAATCCCAATCCTCGCTTCACTCCATTACCTTTATCCACACCGATCCTGTTGGCTGAATGATGTAGTGATGCCCTTTAAGCCACTCAGATGTGTGTCTTGCTCTTGGCATCCTTGCCTCAGCTCAGGGATCAGTGTTTCAGTGCACTCTCTGCTTTGCCCCTGGAAGCGTTCCTACTGCCAGGGAGATGTTGGAGAGAATGGCACTGACTGTACCTGACCTGTGTGTGCTCTGTGCACAAAGAGAAGCTCGTAGTGTTCCAGGTAGTCTTCATCACCCCTGAATCTGTTAAAAGAATTGTAGAGTGAACAGCTTGGGTTACATCTGCAGCATATTGTGTAGATATGTACACGTCTGTACTGTGTAGAGTTTTGGTTATTGTCTGGAGGGGAGCCTGTTTGACTGGTGCTCTTCAAAGCAAAATAGCAAAGATGACCTTCATAGTGAAGACAGATGTTACTAACAGAAGATGGAAAAAATTCTGAGTGAGATTTGATATCTTGTATAACTTAATCTATCATCTAATTCTTGCCTTAATGATGGATTACATTATTGTTTCTAAGGTATAAACGGGCCGAATCTACATTGCCATCCTTGTAAGTAAGGATGTCTGGTCAAATTTCTATGAGAGACTGACATTACGCTAATAAACAGCTTTAAATAATTTGCTGTAGAGAGTTGTATTTACAGTTGATGTATTATTTACCTTAATTGCTTGTATTGTGGTCTTGAAAATATTAGCCAAATGTATTTGCGTTTTTTGCCTTTCAGTGGAGCCCCTTAATCCTCAATCCCAGTTACACAATATTGCACTTTCTAGGAGCCACAAAGGTAGACTTCATCAGCATGCACTTTGACTTGCTGGGCACAGATTTTCGAATGGTTCCTAATCGCATGATCTGTAACTACCAAGCTACATCATTCTTCATTCAAACTCTGAAACATTTGAGTATTGCTTTGATGATGCCCATGCATAAAACTTCAAATTAATGTCTAGCCTGTCACTGCCGCACATTTCTTACAGTGTTGTCATCTCTGATTAGGAGACTTTGAGCAAACCTCTCTTGTAGTTGTGGCAGGCTGCCATCCTAATGAGGAGAAACACAGACATGCATGAATTCATGGAGACCTATGCTGATAGTTCCTTGGTCAGAGTAGATGTGAATTGCTTGGTGTGAGTTTTTGCTTTGCTGCGTTTTAACTTTGTACTCATCATTCATAAGTGCTCAGAAAGCAGCCTTTTCCACTGCACCCTTCTGTAGTAGTCTGACCTCGCTTGAAACCCCTGGTTATTCTTGTCCTTTCAGAACAAGCAACTGATTGGACTCCGAGGGCTGTTCAACAAGAACCCAAAGCACAGTTCTGCTGAGAGCAGCGCTCACTACGTGCGGAAGCGCTCTATTGGTGACCGAATTCTCCGGCGTACGGCCAGCGCACCAGCAAAAGGCAGAAAGAAAAGTAAAATGGGTTTTCTGGAAGCTTCTGAAATTAAAGACAGTGCATCGGAACCAGCAGACCTGAAGGACAAAGAAGGGGTTGTAAGGCGTACAAGCCGGAGTTTGCAAGCACGTCCTGCTTCTATGCCAGTGGACAAATTCCTTCTTGTAGGGCTGCCGTGCACGGAAGATGAAACTGCTCAAGATGCCAAAGGAAAAGAAAATGCAACTGGTAAGAGATTTCCAAAATTAATTGTGGTGTAATAAAGTTGAAATTGTCTATGAAGAGGGTTGATTATGCAGTTTGTACACAAGCAGTTTTACTCAACTTTTTAAAGAGTTTCTGGACAAAATGATATGTGCTTGAAATTGCAGCATCTTTAATCTCCTCAGATTCTCTGAAAGTGGAATGTTCTCAGTTGGGGTGACTGTGGGAAGCCATCTCCAAACCAGGCAAATGACTTACAATAATTTCTAGAAGTGCTCTTAAAAGGACACTTTCCAAATTCTGTTGTGAGAAAGAAAAAATTGGTTCTTGCTTTAAGAACCCACGTTCAATTAGTCTTCACTAATTTCTGGTTTGTTATTGTCAGTGTGCTTATGAAAAGTTGCTGGCATGGTGTTTTTCTTCCCATTTTCAAGGAGGAAGAATATCATGCAGCGTGCAGTTTTGGTTACAAAATATGTAGAGACCAATGGAGGCTTTCAAAAGTCACTAAAAACAGGGACAGTAGGCCAGACTTTTGTATTTAAAGTAACCAAAGTGAGTAACTGAGTTTAAATGGAAAACACTAAGATAAAATCTCAGTCCTGATACACGAGTCAGTTCTTAGAACAGCTTTTTTCCCAAGTCTTTTCAGCATCACTTTGGATTTTGAAAGCCATTCCCCTGCCAACAGCAAATTTGGTGTGTTCAGTGATATTGGATTTACTGGAATGTTTAGGTATGTCTCGAGAGCTTTAAATACCATGGCTGTAGTCTGTTAGGCCTGCTGCCTCCACCTTGAGCTTGTACCTAATCTAAGCCACATGCACTGCTGGTTGGGGTTGGTTTTTGTTTGTTTGAGAGGGGTGTGTGCTCTCATACAGGCTGGCCAGGTGCCCAGCTCTGATCAGTACTGGCAGCTCTGCTTTTTTGGAGTTGGTCCCTGCAGGGCTATTCCTCCACAAGCACAGGGCAGCCAGAAACACTGTCTGTCCTACTTGGTAAGAGGAAAGCACAGGGAGGACCTGGCTGATAGAAACGCTGCTCTGCTCTGAGTTTTCTCAGCTGCACAGCAGCAGCTTCTGCCAGCACCAGGAGCCACGTGTAGCAGGACAGCTGAGCTCAGGTGGGAATGTGCTGTTAAGGCTTGTTGCTTCTACCTGCCTTTGTGGCTTTGAAAGAACTTAGGGACATCACTGCAAGACAAAGCATTAAAGAGAAACTGAAAGCAAAATTAAACCTGTTTTTTTTCCTGCCAACCTGAGATGAGACTAGACAGGAAAAAGGATGTTCCTGATAAAGGAATTTAACTCTGAAAATGCTGCATTTGAAATAGAAAGATTTTCTCTGAATAAGCATGTGAAGCTGCTACAGCTCAGTCATTCCTATCAATGGTTGTAAGCATTTATATTTACAAATTTCTTCCTGCAGATGCTTTAGGTAAGGACAGGAAATAAATTTAAAAGAAACTTTCACACTCTTTTGGAAGCTGTGGGTATTCTCTTACAGGAGAATAGCATAATCTCTGAGATGACCTAAAATTCTGCTTCAGGAAGTAAATTCTGTCCATTGGAGTGTCTGTGTGCCTTGTTCCATGACCCCCATAGAGGAGGACTGACCTCCATAGACATAAAGAAGTGAGACACAAAGATGAAATGCTAGATGCAGGCCTCTGCTGTGGCTGCAGGACCTTCTCTCTTCTCTGTGCCAAAGGGCCACAGCCCATTTTTGGAAGAACTTGCCTTCAACGTTGATAAGCAAAGGTGTGATAGAGCTTCACACTCGTGCAGAACTAGGCTTGGGTGTTCTCCTGATGCAACTTCAGTGCAAGTAGTTCAGACTGGGAGGCAGCTTCACCCTCATGGAGGTTACTGGGCTGATGGAGTGCTCGTTATTTCAGGATGCAGTGAAGAATGGAGGGGGCTGGGTGTCCAGCACAGATCTTTCTTGCTAAAATGCTATGGCTAAACGCATCTCTACTGACCTGGTTGGATTTCTGCAAAGTGAACGGTGTGCTTTTTCCCTTGCTCTTTGTAGGAAAAGAAACAAAAGTACAAATGAAAAAACTGTACATCTCTTCCATCCTTATGTAGGTGCACTGATAGGCTGGAGCAGCTTTTCAAATTTTGGAGATCAGCCCTTAGTACCAGGCTTATTAAAATGATCTCTAACGGGGGCTTTCAGACGCTGTCAGAGAATGATCAGGGCTTCTCTTGTTTCTTCCTAGGGTGTCTGGTGAATGTGCAAAAGAGTATATGCTGTACCAGATTTATTGCTTAATTAAAAGCTTCAAAGCAGTGAGTCATGGAGCTGGGATTTGGTAAATAAAGACAAATAAGAAGATTTGGTAGAGAAAATCTTACGTATTTCCACAGAACTCAAAATTTTGCTCTCTTATGAATGCAATATGCTAATAGAAGATCAGAAATTTAATCCTTAAATTTTAATCTCTTACAATAACTGTATGTAAAGAACACTGCCTGGAGTCCAGCTTCTTGATGCTTTATTTTCAAAGCTCTTTTAAGCATGCATCTTGTTTCAAAGTATTATGTTTTTTTTAACAGAGCTGTTTTGTTCTGTCTTTATTGCCACGCTTCTTTATAGTACAAATCTGAATAGGAACACAGCTGAAGGTAATGCCACGTGCCAATGATGATATGGTACCTCATTAACATTATTTGCAACAAATATTACATCACGTGCTTGATGTAATAGACATCCAAAGGAAGCTTCAGTGAAGTGCCTGCAGTCGTATTTTTCCATTTATTCATATCACAGATAATTTGGGCTAAGCCTGCACAACACCATAACAGTTCTGTCACAACTGTACCTAATTTTACGTTCTCCATTTGTCTGTCTAAGGACAAAGTAGTTGTTAATAAACAAAGCACAAAATACTATCTGCAACTAACGTGTTTCTTGTTTAATTTAGCCAACAGTGACGGTGATAAAACAGAGAAGGAAACAAACTTGAAAGAATCTGTTTTCACGTGTTCTGAGAAAACTGCAGATATTTCAAATTTGGCATCTCCCTTGAAAAAAGAGAGTGCCCAGAAGGAAACGACAGCTGATTTTTCCCTTGTACCACCTTCCCAGGAACAACCTGAACATTTAGTTGCTGTACGTGGTGTAACCGAAACAAATCACCTCAACCTTCCTGTTGACACTGTGCCTCTAATTCAGAGCTCTGGCTTTGAGCACGACACAGAAAAAATACAGGGCAAGAACTGTGCAGGCACTGCAAGGGAAGATGACACAAACAGGTGTAAGGAGGAGAAAATAACTTCTGTCAGGACTTGCCTTCCTGAAAAGGTGGAGGAGGTTGAAAATCTCAAATACGACATCATCCAGAAGAGCAGTGTGGCATGCCTTGCCCTGACTGAGATTTCTTCTGCCGTCTGCTCTGAGGCTCCTGATTTACGTTCCCCTTTAACCATGCAGGACAGCGACATCTCCCGCCTTATAGATGAAGTTTCTTTGGTGACTGAGAGCGAGTTGGACAGTGCTGTCTCAGCTCTGATCGGCCAGCTGGATGTCACCGATGACCAAACCAGCCTCACCACACCGATGCTCCCCGGCGCTGGCAGCCAGACCTTCGGTGCTGTGGCCACGCACGCAGTTCCTGCAGAGCTCAGCACTCCCTGTAAGAATGACTTCATTACCACAAAATCCACCAAGTCCCCGTTATTTTCAACTCCAGACACTGCCGTGTTCTCCAGCCCTGAAACTGCGGACTATTCTGTGTACACAATTATCCACGAGGCAACTCTTACGCCAGGTTCTGAATTTAAGACCCACAGTGGGTTAGTTTGCAAGAAAAAATCAAAGAGCGTAGAAAATAACTTGCCTAGCTCTTTTTGTTCTTCGCCTTTCTCTTTGCTGAATGCAAATCCCCAAAGAAAATGTGAAACAAGCTGGGGAACCCCCAGGTCTGTGGGTTCCCTTGCTTCCAGCAACCTCATCTTTGAGGAGATGCTTGTGGACCCTCCAATGGGTGAGAATTCGGAAAGCAGCAGTCTTGTAGAGTTGGGTGGGGATTCTCAAGATCTCTTGGTAACTGCATGCGCGTACAAAAGGGAAGATGTCAGCCAGTTGGCTTCCCCTTTAAAACTGAGGCAGCAGCAGGATGGCAGGTGCTGTGGTGAGAGGACCTTTGGGAACTGTGCGAGTGCTGGGCTCTGTGCTGCTGCCCTGGGCTGCTCGGATAACTTTAGGACTGTGGGAAGCAAGCTCCCTTTTCCGGCCTGTGAAAATGTTGGTTTTCTACATCATCATCGTGCCGATAAGCAGAAAGATTTGATGTGTGCCTCCAGGAGGTCCCAACTGGATGTACGCTCACCAGTGCTCAGAAGCGCGTTGGCTTTCCCACCCTCTCCAGCCATCAAACAGACCAGCCCTTGCAAATCCAAGAGTCTTGGTGACTTGACATCAGAAGATATTTCCTGCAACTTTGAAAGCAAGTATCAGTACATAAGTAGGAGCTTTATCACATCCGGCATGAGAGACAAGAAGCTCGCTGCAATGAAGACGATGAGACCGCACTCTACAGATGCTTTGACGGAGCAGCTGAGAAAGCTGCTGTCTCTGGATCAGGACGACAGCCACCAGGTGCTGTACTCCAGGCAGCTCGATGAGGACTGCCCAAAGGCACTGGTCAGAAAGCTGTCGTCCAGGAGCCAGAGCAGAGTGCGGAACATCGCCAGTCGTGCCAAGGAAAGGCAGGAGGCCAGCAAGCAAAAATCTTCCAACGCGGGCAGCATAGCGGGGGTCGTCCTTCGGAACAAGCCTTCGGGGTCCCCTCACGTCGTCAACAGGCACTCGACCGGCTCCTACATAGCCAGGTACCTGGGCAGCTTCCCTGAGGAGGCAGCGGAGGGCCGGGGCCGACCTGAGGGCACCTGTGCTGCCTGGCACCACGGCTGCGCGGAGCCGCTGTGCGCGCACAGCCCCCTGCTGCAGCTGGAGCCCGACGGCGCCGAGAAGCCCGAAGTCTATTTCCTGCTCAGGCTGTAGGTTGGATAAATGTAAGTCTTCAACATTTACAAACCGTTTCATTGAAATGAAGGATTTTTAGAAAGAAATGCTGTTTTGAGGCTTTAAATTATTTAGAAATGCAATTTCGTGCTGGCGGCCCAGTCACAATTTAATGTTCCTTTTCCTGTTGAAACTTACATAAATAAATCCATATTCCATCCTTGTGTATTTATGCGTTACTTTAATTTAGCCATTACCAAGGGAGTAGGCTGGGGGCTAGCTGCACGCAATGAGCATTTGTAGCATTTTGTATTTGTAGTGCATGGCTCGAGGGCATGGCGTTGCAATGAATGCAAGAGTATTCTTCTGTTTTCCTGAAGTCTGCTGTTTGAGAAAATAGCTCCAGTCATTGCTTTTGGCCTTTCATGCAATATAGCACTGCATGGAGTGCTTTCTGTCCCTGCTGACTGCTCTGGGCTCTGACTGCTGAGCCAGGCCCTTCCCAGCAGCAGACCCCGAGCATCGCCTTCACTCAGCTTTGTACCCAAATGCTAACAGTAATTTTACATGTTTCCTTGTTTGGACTGTGATTCTGCAACAAACAATTAGCACCATTAGGGTTAGTCCACATTTGTGAGGAGTGCATAGATTTGTCTTCTGCCCACTCTGTGAAGTATAACAACCCTTGTGTTCTGTCTTTGTCAGTGTGTGGAATGCTCATTTCAGGACTGAGTGGAACATGGGGGTGAATCTGGATTTATGAATAGCTAACATAATTTCTGCATATTTTCTGTATTTTTGCTATCGGTTGTGTTTGTAGCAGATTGGTTTTCTGTATATTTGTAATTTTATTGCTAAAGTGTTGATGGTGGTTGATATTTAAAGCTGATATAGTAGAATAACTATTTTGACCGTCCTTCATCTTTTTCTATGAATGTTGGAATCTCAAACACCTGGAGCTTCCCTGTAGGGAACAACATAGCTTTATTTTGGTTTAAAGATATTCTTTGCCTTTGCTGTAAGTTTTTTCTTATATGTAAAAGATGTACCTTATACCTCTTTCTTTTGTAATGCAGAGTATTGTTGTTCTTGAGAACACCATTAAAATAGATTTTTAAGCACCTGGTTACATCTTTACTGAAAATACAACAAATGCAATTATGGTTAAACTGACAGCAGCTGGTGATTGCAGACATCTGTCTTCTTGTGAGCTTGAAGTGAACTTTCAGAAAGGGAAAAATTCTGTAATTTTGCAAAAGTTTTCAATCCCAGAACTTAGTTCTGATAAAAGGTTGTATTCAGAAGTGGATTGCTCCTTAAATGTGTGTCTTCAATGTATGCAAAATGCCTGACCCCACAAATGGTGAGTACAGAAGTCCTCTTTAAAATGTTTCCAGAGCAATGAAGCCACTGCCAGAGGTGTCCTATGTTGCTTTTTTTTTTTAAATTATTTTTTTAAATTTATTTACAATTATATATATAAAAATAATAAAGTACCAAGAAGGCAGTGGTACTGCTTTGAGCACACACACAGTGCATTTGGATTAAACTTAGCATTTTGCATAGAAACAAGTGTGCCAGGCATATTTACAGAGCGGCCCTTTGACTCTCTCTCTCTTAATTTGCTAGAAACGGAGAGGATTCAGACTCTGGAAGGAAGAGCTTGAGGTGCAGAGGAGCTGAGTCTGTCCTTCCCTTGCAGGATGGGCAGCTGAAGATTGTTCCCCAGGACTGCTGTGCCTCCTGTTTTCTGACAGGTGTCACAGGGACCAGAGCAGTGCTGTTTCTCTCTAAAAATCAGGTCAGAAGATGTGCCTAATCCCAGGGCACTGGGCTGTTCCTGTGCTTACTGCTTGGTATTTGGTTACAGACTTCACAGAGTTAGGAACTGTTCTATAAGCAGATGTCAAAGATACTTGAAGGTAAATTTCTTTCATTTTCAGATAAATCGGTGTAAACAACTTTGTCCATTACTTAAAACTACCCATATTGCTTCTGAATCTTGAACTGAGCATTACGTGTATTCAGGATTACATTCAAGTACAGAGTATATTCATGCACTGCTCTTATACCCTCTGTTTTTAATAGAACTCAATGAGCTTCATCTTCCAGAGAAAGGAAGACAAACTTCTGTGTTTTAAAGGGCATTTCTTTAATGCTGCAGGGAAAAGGTAGGCAATAACAACACCTTGAGAATGCCTTCCTACTGCAGCAATCTGCATCCATGGTATGGTGCATCCCTGCATGCCAGTAGGAATCACTGCTACTGCTGTGCACCGGATAGCAGCTGAAAGAGTGGTGTAGAAAGCAGTATTCAGACATAAACCAGTAATGTGCAGTTCATACATTCATAAAGCTGTTCATCTGTTAATTCAAAACTAACTAACTGTGAATGAGCAAGGCTGCATCTTTTTAAAATTCACAGTGAATGCTTTTTTGAAGAATCTGCTGCAGACATCAACTTGTCCCAGTGCTTAAAAACATATTATACTTTTGGCCTCTATTTGTCTGGCTTCACCTCCCAGTGCAGCACTGTTTTATCTGACTGCTCAGCTGAAAGGCATCTTACCACGTTTCTTTCAGATAAGCACGAAGCTGCAGTCTTCTCTGTGACCTCCCACGTGGAGCAAACCTTTGGAGACTTTCCCTCCTTAAAATCTTCTATTCATTCCAGGAGGTCTCCTGTGAGGGCTATCGAGTTCTCAGTGTTGTTCAAGAGCTGCAGGCACCACTTGCAACATGTCAGGAGCAGTTATGTCAGTGGAAAGCATGGAGGTAACGTGATTTGTACCATAGAGGGATTATAAGCACAAGGTGAGAGCATAGAATCCTTGGCTGAAATACTGCACTGGAACCATCCATTCAGTAGGTATCTGTCGTGCCTCTCTCTCTCTCTCTTTTTTTTTTTTTTCTTTAATACTTTCTTTGGAGGGCAGATTTACTTTTGTAATTAGAATTTGCATTTTTTCCATCTGGGGTTCATTGAGATGTATGCTTCCTTTGCCTCTGTGCTGTGGAGAAAGTTAGTAGCAGCAGAAACGAGATAGGAATGTTACTTCTAAGAAATTCGACTTCTTAAAATTCAGAAGCAAAAAGGGTTGCTGGTTACTTTTATATGATTACCTATTGGAATATCTGCTTCCCCTGCTTGGCAGCAGTGTAAGGTGCTCCTGATGTCAGGTATGCAGCGGTGTTTCTCATTCCTCGCTCATGGCAGAGGAACTTTTTGCTCATTTATCCGCCTGCATGGAGGTGAAGGTCTGCTAGGAAGCTGTCCTGCCTTTTCAGTTGCTCCCATCTGTCTGAGGAAGCCAAAGTCACGAGGGGGTGTCAAACAAGAAGCAAAGCAGAGATTTCAGCTATTTCTGTATGGGCAGCAGGATGGGAAGGGATTAGTGCTAAGCATTAGGGAATCAGGAGTAATGTGTTGATTGCTAGGTTTGGATTGGGACTGAAGTTTGTTAGTAAGTCAGACATATTTATGTGGTCCTGTTTTAAGGAGCAACAGTCGTAAAGGAGGACATTGTAAGGGAAGCATGTCTTGAAGCAGAAGATTAATTCATAGCTGGTTTTCAAACTCTCACTTGATTTACAGACTTTTTAAAGCAGATGCTTTCATTTACTTTAGTGCTACATATTTTAAACATTTACAGCCAAAATCTTATTGCAGTTTAAGATGTACTAGACTGAAGTGACACTTCTAAATCCAGTGGAGCAGTTTTGCTGGAAGTTAACACCACTGAGTTGCAGAGCATGTGCAATTAATGTTAGTTCTTGTACTTCTCTTGTCTTGGGACTGTGATATTAAATATTTAAAACGTGTGCCCAGTCTTCTGGGCGAGGGTGCGTGTGCTGTTTGGAATGCATTTAAATAAATAATAGCTATGTTGACCTGCACTCCCATTTGTTTTCCTGTAGCTGAAAGTGAGAACCTAATTATGCACAATGTTTGCATAAAATGAGGCTTCCTTGTTCACCAGCTGCATTTCTAATGCTGAAAGACAATCATTAGGGTTTTCTGTTTTGAACTGTGTTGGGAGTAAGGCTGTCCCAGCAGTCTTCAGAGGCCAAAGGGCCACATAGGTAAAGCCAGGAAATGGGGAGTCGAAACCATTGATTCTGCTGGTGCTCGAGCTGTGGGACCTTCCTGTTGCAGTGGGATCCTCTCCAGCATAGCAGTGTGAATGGAGGTTGTAGAGGAGTTTTCTGGATTTCCATGGTGCTAATATACACTTTCATGAGACGAAACAAGATCTGTTTATTTGAAAGACAAAATCTCAGCAGTCTCCTTTGCCTCTGGTCTCCACACTCAGCCTCTGTGCCAAGCAGTGCCGAGCCAACCTTGCAGCAGGGTACTGCAAGACCTGACAGCAGGAGTGAAAGGAGAAGGCCTGATACACACATGTCCAGCAAATTGCCCCTTTTATTTCCGTGCTGAAAAGTATTTCTTTTCTTTACTCAAAAGTAAAGAAGCGTGTTTGGCTCTTTTGCCTGTGACTCAAGTTCCTGCATTGTGAGGCAGGTGGGGTGCAGTCCCTTCTCTGCTGTAGGTTTGTGCTAGGAATCGTGCAGAGCGATTCAGTCCAGTGCCAAATGAAATGTCTATATCTCTTTGGCTTTGGCAGCACCTTCTGTTGCACTGAGTAGAGATGCTAAATGTTTACTAGGAGGAATAAATACAAGCAACAGCTGCTGTTCATTTCTGAATGTGACATTCTGTTCTTGCCAAATGGGACCATATTCATTTACTGAAAAAAGTATATCCAGTCACCAAGGCAGCAGGAATAATACCAAGCAAACCCTTCCTTTTTACTTTCCAGAGCCATGGCACCGAGATCAGAGCTGTTCTACAAAGCAGTATCCAGTCACAGCACTGGTAGCACAGACTGGTGCTGCATAGTGCTGAGCGGTGTGCTTTGTGCTGCGGTGCCTCATCCACCCAGGGGGCTGAGAGACACAGGGCCCCTCGTCCCACCTCTCACCATTTCCAGGGGCAGGGGAGCGTGGCAAGGCTTGGCACAGCTCAGCTGTGTTTGGATTCTCAGGGTGCTGACGGGTGGCAATTTGCCCCTTGCCGATACTCTTTAAAGCCCACTCTGGTTTAGTGCAACAGGTTTCTTCTCATGCCGAGAATACAGCAGACCAGCTAGGTGTAGGGAAATAATCCTATCAGAAACCACACTTGACATTTTTATCACGTTACGTTGAACTAAGTGGGATTATCCAGT